GTCAACTATTACCAACAGCTCCTGGGTTCTTCACGAGACACACTTCCTTTAGATGAGACTGTTGTCTGTTGTGGTCCTCGTCTTGATGCCACCTCTCAAGCTTCTTTGTTAGCTGATGTCTCAAATGATGATATCAAAAAGGCTCTTTTCAGCATTGGTGATCATAAATCCCCAGGGCCTAATGGGTACTCATCTTTCTTTTTCAAGAAATCCTAGGACGTGGTTGGGCAAGATCTATGTGTTGCAGTGCAAGACTTTTTCCAATCAGGGCAGCTTCTAAAACAGATAAACCATTCTATCATAGCACTAGTGTCGAAATCTGCTCATGTTACTACAGCTAGTGACTTTAGGCCCATTTCTTGTTGTAACGTTATTTACAAAATCATTTCCAAAATTCTAGCTGACAGGCTAGGGCATGCTCTTGATGGCATCATCAGCCCCATACAAAATGCCTTCTTGGGTGGTCGCCGCATGGCTGATAATATTAATCTCTTGCAGGAGCTTCTTAGGCAATATGAAAGGAAAAAGAGCCTCCCCTAGATGCCTTATAAAAATTGATTTCAGGAAAGCTTTTGACTCTATCCAATGGGCATTCTTGCGACATCTTCTTCTCCTCCTTGGCTTCCCTGATAGATTTGTTCATCTGGTGATGACTTGCGTTGAAACAGCTTCATATTCAGTGGCAGTCAATGGGGAGCTATTCGGGTTTTTTCCTGGAAAATGTGGGGTGCGGCAAGGGGATCCCCTGTCACCATATCTATTCATCACTTGCATGGAATATTTCTCTAGGATGCTCAGCTTAGTATCCCAGAATCCTTCATTCCATTTTCACCCAAAATGCAAGCCGCTTGGCATTTCTCATCTCTCTTTCGCTGATGATATTATGCTACTATGTAGAGGGGATAAAAGTTCAGTTCAAATTCTCTTCCAGCAACTGGTGCTCTTTGGACACACATCTGGACTGGATATTAATTCTTCCAAATCATCAATTTATTTTGGTGGTGTTGCTGCTAGTATAAAGCAAGCCATATTACTTGATACTGGTTTCTTGGAAGGCTCCTTTCCTTTCCGGTATCTTGGTGTGCCTCTCAGCCCACACAGACTTCTTGCAAGTCAGTTCTCACCGCTTCTCCACAAGTTAGAAGCAGCTATTCAAGGATGGGTGGGTAAACACCTTACATACGCTGGTAGGCTGCAGCTCATTAAGTCAGTTTTATATGGTATGGTGCAATTCTGGATTAGCATTTTTCCTATGCTGTGTGCAGTTATCAGACAAATTACTTGTCTCTGTCGAAACTTTCTGTGGACAGGAGATATACACAGAAGTAAGTCTGCTCTTGTGGCATGGAAAACGGTTTGCCTCCAAAGAATGTAGGAGGACTGGGTCTACCTAATATTCAAATCAGTAATAAGTGTTTCATTGCCAAACAACTCTGGAACATTCACCAGAAGCAGGATTCCATCTGGATACGCTGGATACATCACTACTATTTAAATGCCATCTCCATTTGGAATGCTCAGAATCATAAAGCTTCGTCACCACTGTGGAAGTCTATCATTCTTCTAAAGAATTAGCTTGTCCAGAGCTATGGGAGTCATCAACTAGTTCTTGATCTAATGGCAGACTGGGAGCGGAGGGAAGGTGGATTCACTTCTAATGCTTATGCTTCACTCAAGCCCCAAAGTCCAGCAGTCCCCTAGGAGAAGATAGTTTGGGGGTAATGGTCTCTGCCCAGATGCAATTTCATATTATGGCTAGCCATGCTTGGGAAGCTTCGAACTAGAGATAGGCTGAGGTTCATTCCCACTAACACATTTTGCATCTTTTATAGACAGGAAGAGGAGAGCAATAGACATTTATTTTTCAGTTGCACCTGGACATCTTCTCTTTGGAACAAAATCAAAGCCTGGCTGAAAATAAACAGGCGTATGGCCACTCTCAAGAGTGCAGTGAAAGGTTTGCCTTCCAAAAAGAAAAGCCTAGAGGCCAGAATGTGCAGAGCTTCTCTCAGCATGACAGTCTACCTAATATGGGAAGAAAGGAACAAAAGAATATTTGAGGGCAAGAGTATCCTACCTGACCTTGTATTTTGAAAATTTCAAATTCTCTTCTTCATGGTCCTGCATTTCCATGAAAAAAATCGTACACACATCAATGTTGCCTGGTGATTCCTCCTTCGGATGTG